AAATAAAGCTAAAGTAAAAAAAAAAAATCCAACTTAAACTATTAGCTAGTTTGGCTCTTCAGAATGGAATTTCTAAGTAGATAATGCTGAACTAAATACTGGGGGCACCTCAAACAATTCTGTTTTTAAAGTCTAGTTTCCTTCTGCACCAAACATCCCCAATGTCGTCACTTTTTCAGGACTTTATCAGGTGACAGACCACCACAACCTGGGATCAGCTTGTTTGCTGGGACAAAGTGGCCATGCTCTGACCAGATGATATCTACAAGAGAAGCTAATTGCTCCTCATTTTGGATCACCTCCGTGACCTCCAGCACAAGCTGCCGGCTAAAAGCAGTTTATAACTGCAGGTGTGTAACACAACAGTGAAAGTGCAAAGGCATTTCTGGGAAGCAGTGTAGTCTTCCGGCAGGTCGGAGGCAAGAGGATAGAACAGGACCACGTGAGAAAAGACTACCGCCCCAGTAGGCAACAATTTCCGACTTCATCTCAGCTGCACCTGTTAGGCAGGCACTAAGGGTTAAAGTGTGGTTCTGGTGGTTGTCCTCCTGAAGTCAAGCAACAGCACTGGACTTGCTGTATTAGGAACAATGAAGTAAAGTAAACAGGCAGGAGGTGAAACAGGAAGTGAGTGATCGGGCCGAGACAAGAGGACACACCAGGCAGCTGTGACCTCTTCGGCTCTAGCTTCATCTCTCAAGTGGAGCTCTAAGAACTCAAGTGTGCAGAGAGAGAGAGCGAGCAGAGAAGGCGCTATAACTGCCCCCTTCAGGCAGAACAAGCAGGGTATGGCGGCAGATAAAGGCCTCCGGTGGGGCCTCTGTGCAAAGGGTACACACTATGACGGCCATGGTACCACAGGGTGTAGGGGAATGGGATTGTGAGGAGAGGCTGAGAGGAAATGCTTGGCGTTTGGAAGGCACACCAAGCTAACTGTTAGCTTCACCTCAGCATCCCTTCAGGAGAGCCTCGAGGGGTAGATTATACTGCCATGCTAACTCCTCTCTACTTTCCTGACCATGCCAGTCACAGCTGCTTTCTTTAGGAATCTGATCAATTTATCCAGGCCTGGCATCTGGCCTCAAAGGCCACTCTTGTAATAAATTCCTTAGTTGAACAAAACTAATAAGTCAGTTAAAGAATAACTACATTTCCCAAAAAGTTTGGAAAAAAGAAACCCGTGTTTACCATCTCAACATTCTTTTCCATTTCTTTAATATACAGTCTAATATCATTTGTGTACCTAGATCCAATAGCTTAATTTTATTTTTATTTTATGTACATTAGTGTTCTGCCTGTATGTATGTCTGTGTGAGGGTGTCAGATCCCTCGGAAAAGGACTTACAGACAGTTGTGAGTTGTCATGTGGGTGCTGAGAATTGAACTCAGGACCTCTGGAAGAGCAGCCAATGCTCTTAACTGCTGAGCTATCTCTCCAGCCCCTAATAGCTTAATTTTCAATTAGTAGTTGATAATCTTTCATATTGGTGTTGAGTATTTTAGAAATATGTTTATTTTTTTAATTATGTTTCTAGGTCTGTGCAAGTGAGTGCTGATGCTCTCAGAAGCCAGAGGAATTGGATCCCCTGAAACTAGAGCTACAGTGGTTGTGAGCCCATCCAACAATGGGTGCTAGGAACCAAACTCGGGCCCTCTGGAAGATGAGGGTGCATTCAACCACTGAGCCATCTTTTCCATCCTGGTTTTACTTATTTTTACACTATTCTCTCTGTGTGTAGTATGTATAGTACGTGTAGTGTGTGCGAGAGTACATGTACCCATGCACACACAGGTAAAAGCCAGAGCAGGGCTTCAGGTGTCTTCCTCTATCACCCTCCAACCAGCTGCCTTGAAACTGAGTCTCTTAAGAGAGAATGGAAGCCCACTAATTGGCTAGCCCAGCTGCTTGACCAGTGAGCTCCAGGTATCTGACTCTCTCCACGTCCCAGTGCTGAAGTTACAGGCATGCCTGCCTCTCCATGAGGCTGGGGACTGGAACTGAGGTCCTGCTTGGAGAGCAAGCACCCTTACCCACTGGGCTCTGCGATAGCCCTACGGGAGTTTTAAGTATATATAATGTTTAGTTCACTAGGTCAGTTTTTAGTGTTCAGAGTCTCACATTTCAGATTGGCTAAGATGAGGAATGATCAAATTATATTTCTTTTTGTATTAACTTTAACATATCAATTTAGAGTATTTTATATTTATATATTATTTTAACGTTATATGCATGATAAAATGTAAATGGAACAAAACAATATACAATGTAATTTTCCTAACACCCAAGTCCCCAATCTCCCATGCTAAAACCATGAAATGAATAGTTTACTGTGACCCTTACTGGGAATTTCTTGTGTATGTATTTGTGTGTGTATAGAGAGATTTATACAATTTTTAAATTAAGGCATATGTCACAATCTAATCCAACTCCTAAAATTAATAAATGAATTATTAGATCATTATTATAGAAGAATATAAAAGCCCTCTTGTAGTATGTATGTTTTTTAAAACTCCTTTGGTAAGGACTTGTGTTATTACACTCCATATTTTATAAAAAAAATCAGTTTATAGCTTTTGGAAGTCATAATTTGCCGATATATAAAAAATAACTA